TATATATATATATATATATATATATATATATATATTCCATTTAGCTCAGATGCAGTTTCTTTTTTTTTTTTTTGCTATATCAATCATTTTATTCCATGGGTATAAGCCTGAAGGTATTGCTTTGGGAATCATCTAACACTACCGATCAGACAAAATAATCCCAGGTAAGTAAAGAGAGACAAAAAAGTGGTTTTCTCCAGTGCCTCCCACTAGCGAGTTATCCAGTGAAAGGAGCCCACAATCAATATTAACTTTTCAGAAAGAGCAGAATGTGTACTAACGAGAAGGTTAACACCACTTGCATCAACACCCTGCACTCTCGCCAAGGCAAATGGAGCAAGAGCAAGAACGTCCTCATCACGTTTTGCGGATGGCTCAATCAACGCACCCACACATCCAACTATCCCCTCCAATGCGTCTTGCTCAACAACCGAGACAACCGCATGACCTTCAACATCCTTCAATAAAAGTATTTCAATGCTTGAAAAAGGCTTGTTAATCTCTGAAGGTTGTAGGTCAATAGGACCTCCTCCAAAAAAATATCTCTCCATTTTCGATGACAAATTTTCCGGCCCAGCATCCATCGGAGAATAATGAAACGATTGAGAAAGCTTATCAATCCGTGTATTCACAGAAGAATGGGTATTAGTTAACTTTTGCATTTTCGCGATTCTGTCGTAAAGTCCAGTAAAAAAAAATCATCACCAACACAAAGAACATGGGATACATTAAAACGCCTCAAAATATTCTCTGCAAATACAAGACCACTAGTTCCTTTTAACTCTGGAAGTACAACGACGGCGCCGCTAGACCCAATTACCCCACCCAGATGAGTCGCAATTCTATCACTCACACAGGTTAGCAACAAATTGGTATAGTGCGTATATGGTCCAAACATATTCCATTCTCCTGAACTAACTCTGATTTGAGGTTCAGTTGATCCAGTGAAAAAACAAACCGCAACAGGACCCGTCATTGTCTCCTCATCCAGAGTCATGGGATACTCAATAACCCCTGCACAGAGAGTTCCAGGGGCCCCAAGCATCTGCCCTACACCAGAATCCAGATCTACCAATTGAGGACACCAACCTGTTCGGGCCGCATAGTTACAAAGTGTTCTTGCAATAGCATGTTTCTCTGTGTCATTCTTCCCACAAACAAGAACAACAGGTCCAAACAACGAACTTTTATCCGCCATTGAGCGCGCATCATGTATAATACAATGATATTCAACTAACGGCCTTAGGAACGGTGGTATGGTAGACCGATAACAATTCAGAACAAGTTGCTTTGGCCCCTCAATGCGTATAGAGGCGTTGTTCCATGCAAAAACGGTAAAGATCATGCCTGGTACCAAATTGTAAGATACATCTACAAGGGCAGGGGCACCCAATACATCCACTCGAGGTTCCACCCCACCTGTTAGCGAGAGAACTTTCAGAGTCGCCGAACACCGTTTCGTTTTGTGGGGAACTGAAACCACCAACTCAGATCCAGCACCTAAAAAAGTGGTAACCGCTTCCGTACCCTCCATTTATGATCTGCAAAGCTAACGCCACAACAAAAGACTACACAAAAGCAACAACTGCGATGCAAAAAACAAAAAGAAAAAAACATCAAATAATAATAATAATAATAGTATAGACCTTGAAATAAAAAATCGACAGCCAGTGAAAAATGGAGCGCGGCACGGCCAACAAAAAAAAGTATGTGCGGCGGTGGGGGGAGGGCGCCGGACAAATACCCCCACTTTTTTTTTTTCTTCATGCCTTTTTGTGGACCCGCGGCGCGCAGCGCGGGAAGGCACATCAGCCGAATGAAAAAGGTTAAGGCAGCGTCGCGCACGAAGGGCGGGCGAGAGCCCAGAGGCAGGAAAAGAAGGGGGGCCGGTAATGGGCGCGGCTTTCGCTGGGGATGGGGGTGTCGCGCGTGGCGGGAAATTCGGACGCGCGTGGCATGTCGGTGGGGTGCGCCTGATTGTTGTTTTTCTTTTTTACGGGGTGTAGTACTCCCGCTTTTTCATTATTGCTGTTTTATATTGTTTTTGATATGCAGATTTGTTTTTTGTTGTTGACACGTTATTTTTGATTGTTTTTATTCGTTTAGTAAATTGTTTTTTATTTCATATTACCGTATTTTTTGGTATTTATTTCGTTTTATTTATTTTTATGATTATCAAAAAGAGGGTTACTGTAATGTTTAGAATTTCACTTTTGTTGGCTTGGAGACGGACGGCAGCTTTATATCTGCGGGCCAGTAAACTTGTTCAATATGAACAGGAGGCTTTTGAAGCAAGGACAAGACTAGAAGAATCTAAAACCTATCCAGGGCCAATCCGCTCGGCAACGCCAGGAGATACTCGTTTTTATGCAGGAAGTTTAGAATCTATTCTTCAGGACACTGACAGACACTATTGGAGGGCTGTGACGGACGATCCTCAAGTGCAATATCTTATTCCTTTACGAATTCGATTTAAGATTTTTACGTGGGTCACAACTGGTTGGGAACAACGGCTACAAATTGTGCAAGTAATGGCTCCAAGGGATAGCACAATAGCTCAACTTATTGAGCTTGTTACAATTGAAAATCAGTCTCCTTACCTTTGTTCTTCTGCATTTACACTTAGTCTTGATGGAAAAGAGTTGGATCCCGGTAAAACGCTTTCGGACTATGATATTACAGAGCATTCTCGTATAGATGCAATAGAGGATAATGACCATTTGCTTCATAAAGAAAGCGAAAGACCATTGGATTGGACAGTGGATGAGATGAGTGCAGAGTGCCTTAATCGTAGTCCATACAAGGAAATGGGAATACATCCTTTACCTAATTTGGTTCCACGATACGAGGCACGTCCCAAAGGATACTTCGGAAAAAATAACTATAGCGGTATGAAGCAAGAATCATAGGTGTCAAAAGTGCCAAAAAAAAAAGAGTTAACCCAAGAACACATAAATTGATTACTTATTCGATGTAATATTTACTCAGTATTTTTTTCATTTACTTACGCATTGTTTGGTGATTATCGAAAACTAATTTGTTTGTTTTGTTTTTTTTTATTTGTACATATATATTGTATTATATGTATTTGTTTTGTCTGTTTTTTTTTCTGCATCTTTTTTAAGGTTAGAAGGGAACTGAGGGAATAAAACAAAAGCTTTCTTTTTGTATATTTTTGTGTGATGGAAATAAGGAAAACGACGGAGAATGTCTTGGCGATTGCAGATGATGTCATCGCCTCATTAGCTAGTGGTTGTGTGGTGGATGAAGCAAAATATGAGCTGCCCTTGAGTATCTATGCTCAGACTCCAGTTTTCCGGAATCAGTTGGATAAAGGGCTCCAAAAAGATTTGTATAGTGTGACAAAGGCAGTTCAGCACTGTCAACAGACAAAAAGTATTGCAGTCCAGAATATATCGTTAAGCGTCGATTTGGGTATGCAAACTGAGTCTTGTGTAGTTTCTTTGGGAGTTCAAACAGAGCCTGATACGTCTCGTGATTTTATTAAAGAAGCTTTTAAAAGGACTACCAATATTGTTACTTTAACATTGGTAAATACGGAGGAGATGTGGAGGAATTTAATCAACCGTTTAAATCGTTTAAATATGGAATTTAAAAGAATATCAAATGTTTTGAATTCTGTTACAAGATCACGCGATTTTTTTGAGAAAAAAATCAAGGAAACTCAATGCTTTCACAGTATATTTTCCTTGCTGCAAAGAGAACTGGAGAGTCGTTGTGGGATTTCCGAGGAAGAGCAGGAAACACGGTATACTATTGCTCTACTTGCAAATCGTGCCATTATTGGATATCATAGAGAGTGTGAAAAAGCTTTTGTAGTAACTCAAAATGAGTTAATTGAAAAGTTGGATGAAATAGATATTTTACAGAAAAAACTTTCTGAACTTAGCGAGGACGACGCCATTTATACTGCTTCCATTATATCTGGAGCTTGTCATGATGTCACAGAGAAGAATCTTGCAGAAGATATAGATGATAACGAGTCTGTTAATGAAATGAAAAAGTTATTAACAGAGTGCTGGGGAGTTTTGGACCAGGATATGTAGTTTTTTTTTTTTGTATTATACTTATTTACTTTGTCAAACCGTGATGAATTTGAAGATAATTACAAACAGTGATTATTTAATTTGCAAATGTTTCATTGTATGACGCAATAAATATATGTATATGTTTTGATTTTTATTTATTTATTACTTGTTTTGTTTTTCTAGGTGTTTATATTATTATTTATTTATATTATTTTATGAAGTTGTCTCAATGACGTTTAGGTTTATTACAGTCCCTTTGAAAAAATCAAAATCCCGTAATGAAAAGTCGGATGCCAATTTTAACAAAGTACCTTTATCAGTTAAAAAAAGTATTGAAGAGAAAGGAAGGCTTTGCGTTTCAAAGTTTGAGATGATTTCCAAGGCGCTTGAAAAGGGATCCAAGTATAAGGATACTCTTTGGAAATCAGTCGAGGGGAGAGAGAAAATGGTTAAAGACATCATAGATACAGTGAATTTATACGAGAGTGAACTAGCGAATTTATTGTTTGAATATCCCGTATTTGCAACCGGATATTATTACTGTTGGGAATCATTTTTGGTGGATAATGGAAATATATTCTATGATGATTTTCGATATGATTTACAATGCATGTACTTTAATGTGGCGGCAATGTTGATGAATATCACGGAGTATTTACTTTGTTGGCAGATGACCCCTTCCAATGCATCGATGCTGGAAAAAGAGTCATATCGACTTCTCTTGCAGGCTGCTGGATATTTTCGCCTTCTTCAAGAAATGGCGCACGATGTAAAAACATATTCTGTTGGCATAACTGAATTGAAACGTCCAGATGATATCGAAGTAGATTTTTTGGAATTCTTTCGGCTTTTAGCTCTGACCCAAGCGCAGGAAATTGGGGCAGCCAAGGCTATTGAAAAACAAATAAGCGGCGGGAAATCAATGGTGGTGAGGCTCTCACATCAAGTTTTGATTCTTTATAAAGAAGCTCTAGGAATTGCACAAAATCATATTACCTCTTCTAAAAATGAGTTTTTGGATATCTTGACATTTGTTCAGTTGAAAGCCGATGTGTTTGAAGCACTAACATTTTCTCATGCAGCTTCCGCCGTATTTGACAATAGCCCTAGTGAAGGTTTGTGGTTTGCTTCCCAGTCCGATTTTTTTGCAAAAATCGTCGTTAATCATCGTGACCAGGCAAGGACAAAAAAAAGAACTATACCATTTAGTGGAGAAGACCTTATTCAGAATTGCTGCGATATTGTGCAGAAAAATTGTGAGCGAATTACAAGGATTAACTCGTTAGTTCATCGAGTAAAACCTAAAGAAGGTCCACTGGCTCTTCCTCCAGCGTATGAGTTGGCTCAAATGAAGCAGGTCCAACTTCCTGCAAAATTTCCTCATCAATTAACTCAGCCACCTGCGCATTTGCCTCCTGCTGAGGGAGGCAACCAAGCTTTAGATTACGCACATATGTTGTCCTGGATTTCCATTTGATCTTTGTATTGAAAGCGAAGATAATATAATTACCAAATGGACTTATTTCTTGGTGGGTGGGGGTATAGAAAAAAAAATAAATGGAAACTATCATTTTTTTGTGCTGCATACGCTTTGAAGAATTATTCACCGAAGATCGTTGTGTTTACCCTTTTTCTTCCCATTTTTATTTGATTTATTGCACTCTTTGATTTTTTTTAAAAAAAAGAATCTAGCCTTTGTCAAACTCTCATTTGTAGCCGAATAAAAATAAAAATAAAAAATGTTTGCTCGCACTGCCATCCGCAGCTGGATTAATAAGAACACGAAGGTGATCTGCCAGGGTATGACCGGTAAGCATGGCGCCTACCATACCAAGCAGGCCATGGAGTACGGCACCAAAATGGTTGGTGGTGTCAACCCCAAGAAGGCTGGAAGCGAATTCCTTGGATTGCCTGTCTTTGGCACTGTTTCGGAGGCTGTCAAGGCGACAGGTGCTGATGCTACTGTTATCTACATTCCCGCTCAGCACTGTGCTGCCGCGATTGAGGAAGCTCTGGATGCTGAAATTCCCCTTGTTGTTGTCATTACGGAGGGAATTCCACAGTGGGATATGCTTCGCGTCAAGTCCATGCTTCTTTCTCAGAACAAGACGCGCCTAATTGGACCCAACTGCCCCGGTATTATTTGCCCGGAGGAATGCAAGATCGGCATCATGCCTGGCCACATCCACAAGAAGGGCTGCATTGGTGTGGTGTCCCGAAGCGGTACACTCACCTATGAGGCAGTTGCTCAGACCACGGCAGCAAACCTTGGCCAAACCCTGTGCGTTGGTATTGGTGGTGACCCGTTTAACGGCACGAACATGATTGACTGTGTCAATTTGTACCTTGAGGATCCCAAGACTGAGGGTATTATCCTTATTGGTGAGATTGGTGGAACTGCAGAGGAAGAGGCCGCGGAGTTTATCAAGAACCATCCCATTAAAAAGCCAGTGGTGTCATTTATCGGTGGTGCGACTGCTCCCCCGGGCCGTCGTATGGGCCACGCAGGAGCTGTGGTTTCTGGTGGACAAGGTACAGCAAAGGGGAAGATGGAGGCTTTGAGGGCTGCGGGTGTCTTTGTTTCCGAGTCCCCTGCACAACTTGGTGATATGATGGTCCAGGCTCTTAAGCAGAAGCAATGAACAGCGTAATTAACGTTGCCAAAAAGTAACTTTGTGAAAGACCACATTGGAGCTCATAAGCTAACTCAAACGTTATGGATAAGTTAATCCCGAAAAAGAGGGTAAAAAGCACAATGCAAAAATGGGGTACAGCGTGTTGATCCAAAAGAAACAAATACTCGAATTAATCGAGCATGAGATGCTAACGAAAAAAAAAAAGATGTTATATCTAATACAAAAAAAAAAAAAAGAAGAAATAAGTAAAAAAAACTAAAAAAAAACAGCACACACACATATATATATATGCATGTATATATTATAAGTAAATAATTCGGAAAGGGGCAGTGTCCGTTAGAAGCTTGATAAAGCTGGTCCATCGAAAGAAAGAAAAAAAAACCGACAACAACAATATAAGTTCCCACCTCTTTGTGTAAATAAGAGAATACAGAGGCAAATGACGAAAAGAGGAGGGATGAATAACAGCTTATCCCTATTGCTCTTTTTGTTATGTGTTATGCGGGTTGAGGATGTCTCCTATGCATGCCTGTTGTTCGCCACGAGGTCCCAGGAACAATGGTATTCAGGGACTTGATCCACTAAAGGTATTTGGTGGTCCCGAGGTGTGGGAATGGATGGCTGCAGGGAATCAAAAAAAAACACACGCACAAAACAGGAATGAGGGAGAATTAATCCAAATGGACAAAAAAAGAACAGACGCATCGGGTGAAGCATTCAAATAAGCAATGAAGGAAAAAGAAAGGAAATGGGAGGCACTCTTGTTTACTCCCACGCGCACATGTTTTTTGCTTCTTAGTGGGTGTTCTCTTTTTTATGCAGTCCGCCGTCTAAAAAGCAAAACACACCGCAAGGGTGGAACGGACGAAGGACTGAGCTATTTTATTTATGATCATGTTCCTGTTGTGTCGGAGATGAAGGAGGGGAAAAAGAAAGAGACATTTTAACTAACATAATTTATTCTTCTTCTTTTTTTTTTGGGTTTTTCCCTTTTTTATTCCATGTTCTTTTTTTTCCCCCTTTGTTTTATCTTTGCTGTTATTGTAATGGTTTTGCTTCACTTCTCTGGTGTTATACTCCTGTGCTGTTTCAAACGAACAAAATGGTAGCATTTCTCTCTCTCTCTTTATCGTTTTTCTTCTTTCTTTTTATTGGGAACATACACACCTCCTTGTGGTATTGTTTGTTTCTTCCCTTTCACCACACACGTATGTATGCGTGCATCTGTGAATAGGAGACAGGGGCCAGTAAAATCTATAAGCCATGGACGATGATTACGGCGACTTTGATGAGTACAACGACGCCGCCGATGACTGGGAGGCAGAAGCAGTCGAAGAAGAGGCACGTGAAAAGGAGATCCTTGAACAAAAGGCCATCATTGAGGAACAGAAGGCGAAGAAACGAGTCAAGGCCCCTGCAAAGGTAAAGGAGGAAGAGGAGGAGGCACTTGCAGCGGACGTCGCAGCGGCGTTCCTTCAGATGAAGGAAAAAGCCAGCAGTGCGGGGGAGGCGATGAGCTTACTAGGGAATACAGGCAAGAATGCGTCCACGCTGATTGCGGATATGCCTGTCCACACCAAAGAAGAAGCAATGGCAGTTGGAGAAGCTATTGCGAATCGATTGCTGACCTTCGCAAAGTCGCCACATTTTAATACGATGCTTGCTGTGGTTTTTCAGGACTTTGCTCAGGAGTTTCGAACACGTGAAGCTGCAAATATTGAGGCGACACGAGTGCATGTGTCCAGCGAGGCGCTAAAGAGGCGGGGCAAAAGGTCCCAAAAAGCAAAGGGGGCTAACCACAACGACGGCGCCGCAGCGACAGGCACCCCTGTCAACAAGGAGTTGGCTAAAGGAAAGGTGGAGGCTGATGCGTTGGCTTTCGATGCTGTCGTCGACGTTGGCGGTGCCGCCGGCGTTTCGAGGGAGGAAGAAGACTTCATGTGAGAGTTTCGTTAAACCGTAAAATGAAAAGAGGAAGAAAAAAAACAGGGAGGGGAAGGACAAAAGGAAAGCAAACATTGATGTTTTTTTTTCCTCTTTTGATTTTCCTTGTTGCACAATCTGGCTTTCCGTCTGTTGTTTTTCTATATTCTCTTCCGTTAACTAGCGGGTATGGCAGCCCTGGAGGGCCGTCCCCCCCCCCCCCCCCTCCTCCTGAAGATACGTTACAAAGAGAAGCGGTCACAACGCGGCAATCGTGGGGAATAACGGCATTGGTGAAAAGCAACGTCAACAAAAATGGTTATCTTCCTCCCTCTTTTTTCTCATTATATATATATATATATTGGTGAATGGGGCCACCTTTGCCCTGCATACGAAAGTAAATTGTTTTAGGACAGATGGACCCCAACACGTTCTCGTCGTCTTTCGACGCGATTGTGTCGCTGAGCAACACGGAGGGACCAAGACGCAACATACTGGAACCAAAGTTTGCGGCAAGGGAACAGATGCAGGCCGTGCAGGAGTCTGTACGGAATGCGTACAAAGAGTCCCCTTCACAGACTGCGATGAGTCAACTTTGCCGGTGTCATGTGTTTATTGGTCTGAATATGTTAGAGACCGATGAAGAGGCGGAAGGAGTGCAGGAAATTTGCAAGGCGTACACATTGACCCTCTCCGGGGCGAAGCGGGAGTTGCTTGACAATGTTGTGGACATTGCGGCCTACCCACTGGAGGAAATCCTTAGAAATGAGGTTCCATTTGTTACGGCTGAAAAAGAGTATGCCTTTGTCACGGAATTTATGCGTGTACATAATGCGTTGGGGTTGTATTTATCGAACCGCAATGTTGAGTTGCGTATCAACGACGCGAAACAGGTTCTGCTTGTGGCAGAGAGGGCATATAAAGAGTGGAAGGGTTGGTTTCAGTCTCTTCCCGGGTCTTGCCTCATGAAGGACGTTCCCGTGTTAGACAACGGCACACTTGACCGAGCAAGCATCGCACCTGATGCGCTATCCATGTACACGGCTCGATTTGAAATGGATACGGCGTATACGTCCACACTTTTTTTCCTGGCCCAGGTTTACACGGCATGCCAGATGACAGTGCTGGCCTCACGGTATTGCCACCACACTTTATACCATCAGCTGCTAAATAAAATGGAGTTTTCCAAGAAGGACTGGGCAACAAACGCATTGCATCTCAGTGCATTTTATAGTAGTTATTTTGACTACGGTAAGGCGCTACACTGCCTTCAGGCCGGGGAGTACATTATGCCGAAAGAAAACGCAAACGAGGAAACGCTTGGGATTGTGGCGTGGGCCTTTGGAAAGTTTTATTTGCATCGGCTAAATTACTACGCGAATGTGGGGCAACAGTGTGCGCCGCGGGGCCATTTACCAGACGGCTTTGAAGAATGGTGGGTTGATTATCCTCTTGATATTCCGCCACCACAGCCTCTCCCGGCAATTGAAACCTTTGAGGAGGCGCGTGAGTGCTTCAAGGAGGCCAACACTTGGTTCAACAAGGCTCTCGAGTACTACTTGTATGATGGCAGTTGCACAGAGCACATTGAAATTGTGAAGGATATTGCACAGCTGTACGCGGCACTCATTCCTTTTGAGGCGAATCGTAGCCGCGTCATTGCTATGCATCAACGACGTGTGGCGCTGCTTGAGCCATTTCCTGGTGACTTAAACTTTAACGCGTACCCCACACTTGTCCGTCAGTTGCTATTTGACTTGGGGGCCATGCATGAGGAGCTACTGGAGGTCTACATGGAGCAGAAGCAAAACCCCACGGAAGGGGAGAAGCCGTTGTCGGACAAGAAATTAAACGCTGTCACGGATAAGACACAAAGTTTCTACACCCGCTTCTGTGATACATGGAAAGACCCACAAAACGGTACAATTTCGGAGACGCTTGACGCAGATTCTAGGTTGCCTTTCTTCCGGGCATTGATGCGACTGGCACATTTGCAGATGAAACGGTTTTTTAGGAATCCAAAAGACGAATATGACAACATCTCTATTTCTATTGGGATGTTTAAAAGGGCCCTCGCCTTTGCGGCCAGTAACCCCATGAAGGAAGAGGCGGAAACGGAGGCAAGGTTGGCTCGCGAGATGGTGGCTCTTCTACCCATGAAGCAGAAGGACTTGTGGCGAGTATACCACAATGCAGTGGAATAAGCCCGGTGCCATATTGTTATCATGTTGGGCATGCCACTTTAATTTTTATTGATTGTTGTTTATTTTGTTACGGTCTATTAATAATAAAAGAGAAAAAAAAACGGTGAAGGTTTCTGCTTGTTAGCCATTTTTCTTTCAGGTTGTTGTTTTTCCGTTGTTGCCAATGTGAGCATGCCTTGAAATTGGTATGGTGTAGAAAGAATGTTTCTTCTGTTTGTGTGTTTTACCTGTTTGGCTTTTTGGTTTTGCATGCATGTCAAATGCGTTGCAATATTTTTCGCAAGGATGTGGATGTAAAGGCTGCTTCTATTGCGTGCAAGTACGTTTGTTAGCGAGAGTGGGGCATGACAAGTATGCACGGCGCCGCGAAGCTGCCAGAGGGCGTCCTCAGTGAGGGTGGCGGCATTGTCACAGGTCCACCACTATTACCCCTGCGTGAGGGGGAAGGCGTGCATCCGCAGCGGAGGAGGGGGGTGACGCCGTACGAGGAGGCTCAATTGGAGGCCGCTGTTCGTATTCGCCGCATACGAGAATTGGTGATGCAGCTTGATGGGATGCACCCAGAAGCAGACCTAGCGTCTCGTGTCAAGTTAAGCCAGCAGATCCGCAAGGATGAGCGGCAGGCCAAGGTGGAGATGCAGAGTGCAAGAAGGTTGGCATTGAGTGAGGGACGAATGCCGGACTTTGAGGTGTTGTTGCATCACTTCAACACAATGCTGGATCTGGTGCAGGAACACTACGACGGGAGGCTTCCTGTTGCTAGGCCCAGCGGCGTCACCAGTGCAAGAGCCCCACTTGCCTCCGCTGACTGCAAGCACGCTGTGAACCAGGGCGCCTTCTTGAGCACCTATTCCGGTAACATCGCACCGGGGCCCGGCAATGCCTACAACATCCACGACGACGTGGAGTTCTTGCAGTTTTTTAATGGCACACAAAAAAATGACACTGCGATAGACGAGTCGCTTGATCGAATCTACGGTGGTGTGCAGCGCCTCAACGAAAACGCGACGCACATCACCTCCGAGCTCCGAACGCAGGAGCAGATGCTGGATGAGACTGAGCAAAAGGTGGGCGATATCCATGGCAATTTGGGCAAACTAAACGTGAGGCTGAAGAATATACTGAAAACGATGGATCGTCCTATGATAATCGTATACCTCCTTTGCTGTCTCATACTCCTGGCTATTATCGTTGTAATATATTTTATGGTAAAACGCTGACCTGTCGACTGTTAAAATACACCACTGTGGGGCATCTTGTGGATACACATACAGTAGAGTACATGATGCCGCCTTACTTCGTTCCCACTAGACATTGTAGCCATCGTCGTGGAGGGGATCGTGTGATTCTCATGAATTTGAGTTTCTAGCCATTGCCGGGCTTCTTCATACTGCGTTTCTTTTGTTTGTATTTGTTTTGTTTTGTTTTTCTTTTCTTTTTAAATGGAAGCAGCGGAAAGGAGGGGAGGGGGTAACAAAAAAGAAAAAAAACATCATCAACACCATGTCAGAAAGTCTCGAGGAAGACTTTACGAGGGCAACCGCGCTCGTGCGTGGGGGAAACCACATTGACGCCATTGGTGTGTACGCCTCAATTGCTGAGAATGCTCTCGCCACAACACCGCAAAAGATACGGGCGTACTCCAATATGAGTGCATGCCTTGCGGCGCGCGATCAGTATGCGGAAGCTCTCGATGCCGCTAAAAAGGCTTTGGAGTTAGATGAACAGAATAGCAAAGTACATGGGCGTGTGGCCACAGCATATCATGGGATGAAGCATTATGAAGAGGCCGCACAACACTACAATCGCGCGCACGTGTTAGACCCGACGAACGCCCTCTACTTGGAGCAGCACCAAGTGGTGCTGGAGCTTATGCGCAGCGGCAAAGGCATTGCGACGCAGGAGACGAAGGATGCGTACTACTATCGTAAGGGCATTGAGCGTGGGAAGGAGGCCATGGAAAAGGGTGAATATCTCAGTGCTGTGCGACACTTTTCGAAGGCGATTGAGCTGCACGCACGGTGTGCTACAGATGACGTTGATAGGGAAGCCAAGAAGGACGACCCTAGTTGTAGCAGCAGTGGCAGGTCTGCTGAGTTAGCGGTCTTGTTTTGTAATCGGAGTGCGGCCTATAGTCGGGCAGGCCGCTATGCCGAGTCACTGGAGGACGGAATGAAGGCTATGGAAGTGAATCCCATGTACGCAAGGGCTTTCTTTCGCATTGCCCACGCACACCATCAGTTAAAACACCCACATGAAGCATACACGGCACTGCGCCGATGTCTGGAGTTGAACCCCAACCACGATGAGGCCAAGGCTTTGATGATCGAGGTAGAACAAGTGGTGACGGTCTTGCAGAAGACAACAGAAGAAAAGCGGCGCGAGAAGGAGGAACAGGTGCAAAAGATTCGCGAAATGCAAAGTGCAGAGAGGGTTACTGAGACTGCAGGTGTACCTATGGGATACCGCAGCCGTGCACACGCGACGTCGTACATGCACTGCAGCTATTGTAATGAAGCTGGACATTCCCGTGCGGAGTGCCCTCTGCTGCGTCGTAAACGTTCTCGCACATCGTAATCACTTCCACCTGTGTGAGGCATTGCAATTTTGATCTTGTGTCTTTTAGTTTTTCAGTAATTGAAATATATAAAAAAAAAGAGGGAGTGGTGGTGGGGGGCCACGATGCCTTGGGTTTTTGGATTGATAATGGGGAGGGGAGTGGGGAAAATAAAAATAAACGCGGTGGGGAACGGAAACGGCGATTGCTGTGAGAGATGCGGGAGGGAAAGCAGCGGAAGCTTCCCAAGTTTTGCCCCGACTCCCTCCCCCCCATGCTGTGCTGTCCTCATCTGCCCACCCTTGATCTTGTCCTCTTTCATCATCGTCACCGGCGTCGTGCGCAGTGGTACGGACGAAGGGAAAGAAGACTAATTACATAAAACAATAAAACAAGAAGGACGAATGCTGCACAAGGAGACGAAGGGAGTTTCGCAAGAGGAGGTGGTGAGTGCGAACCCGGCGGACCTGCGTACAGTGGCTAAAGCGTTGTTTGCCTGTGCGAGACAGCACCTATCTAAGTCATTTATTGAGGTGGAACTGCGGTTGTGCCACTTCACCGAGGAGGAGGGAAGCGCTCCTTGGGGAAATGCTGGTGTAGAGGAAGGCACAGAGTCCAATGGGTTGCGGATAGTCGATGCAAAATTTGCGGCGTCCGTTGCCGCGGAGGATTACGAACGAATTAAGACATATTTAATGAATAAGATGAGAGAAAGTCCTCCGACGCGGTCCGTGACGCGCGACGTGGCTGTGCATGGCTGGCGCCATACATATGCCATAGACGAGGATGGTAACCCCACCCAATGCGTGTCATGTGTGCGGAAGAAGCGTTTACTCATCAAAAACATTGTAGTACCATTGGGTGCGTATAATCTTCGCTTTGCCGTCTCCACAGAGACTCCAGGGCGTTTGCCTCCCGCCGACGCCGTTCCTCACGTTGGTCACACGCGTCTAAAGGATCGGTTGAGCATCACAGATGGATTGTTCCGTTACGACTTGACGCGGGTGATAGAGAACAGGGTACAGGCGTACGAGGTGGAGATTGAGGGGGAGTTTTCGTCCTGTAAGACTCAGTTGACAGAGTCGTGGCTAGAGGAACTCCTTCGAAGGGCCGTTGCGCTTACAACCCTCGCAACGAGGGCAGAAGTGAAGCCGCAGTAGCGCGCTGCGTTGGTGCCTTTGTCGTATACGTTGAGGTGGGTGGTTGTAAAGGTCACTCTGCCGCATTTCAAGCCCCTCTTTTCATCCATTTCTCCCTGTTCGTCATTGTTCTCTTTCTGGCTTCAGACCGCACAGTAGGAAGTGCTGCGTCGATGCATACAATAAGAAGAAGGAATAGAAGTGAGCGGGCATGACGGTTTCCTGTTTTACATTTCTTTCTTTATGTTTACGTTGTTTTTCAATTGTCATGTTGCGTGTCTCTTTCTCCCTTTTTTTTGTGTTGTGGTGTCACTCGCGTCCACTGACGAAGTGCCAGGTTTTAGGCAAAAATGATGCGGAAGACGCCTATCTTTGCTTTGGTTGCCACCCGCAAGGCGTTGGTTGGCAACGGCCCTACTTTCTCCACAGGTGGTGAGTGCATGAACACGTGCGACATCCAGAACGCTTTCCCCATGAACGAGCGTGGGGTTCGTTCCTCGTCCCCATTCAAGGAGCCCAATACTGCCATATATGACACCTACATGTCATGGACGTACTTTCAACCGATGGACGTGGATGTTGAAAAAATTCCGGCGCCAGAGGCGAAATACTACCAGCGGCATACAAAGAAGCCATGGGATATCTCCACAACCGAGCTGATTGAGATTCAGTCGCGTAAGAAGTACTTCCAGGTGTGGGGTTACCTTATTGCCTTCATCTACTTGTACTTCCTTATGCCGAAGGAGAAGTCGTTCAGTGGCCTGCATGGCCCAGACGGTCACTGGGTTATGTTGCCGAAGTCTAGGCCAGAGCTCTTCTAGGCGCTGCGTTATTAAGGTTGCATTAGCACGTAGAAGTAGGGAATATTGGACGGCATCCACACACTCTTGCACGATCCCTTCGGACATGCAGCCTACCCTGTAACGAATAGGGGTGAAGTGACGGAAACAAGAGTGCATGCAGAGTGACGAACTTCTCCGGCACGGCGACGTGAATGTGTGTGTGCGTGCGTGGTTGTCACTTGGCAGCGTCAACGGCTGCTGGAGAAGAAGATGCGGAGAATGCAGTGAAAGTGAGAGGTGTGAGATGAGCCAATGAATGAAGGAAGCGACGGGCGAGGGGTGTCGTTTGTGTCTTCTGTTCGAGGGGCCCGGAAAGTTTTACCTTGTCGAGAAGACGAGCATCATATTACTCTCTCTTTTTCCTGTGTTTTTTTGCGTGTTTTTGCTGCCATCATCTCGTTTAGAGGTAGACAGGGGTTTGTGGGGTCAGGCAGACACACACCGAAAGCTAGAGAAGAGAGTGTGTGCGTGTGCGGGGAGAGGGAAAGAAAAGGGAGAAGACACGTCTCTCTCTCTCTCTCTCACACACACACACACATCGGAGAAGGGAACGTGAGGAGCTGTGTAGTGCAGTCTAAATAAGTAAAAGGAGCGCGTGCTTATATAAAGTACCCTTCTGCAGGTTCCCGGTCACACCTCACATGAGTCTTGCGACCACGGCGTCCCTGCAGCGTATTGCCGAGACGCCGGAGCGGACCCGTAATTTTTGCATGGTGGCTCATGTGGATCACGGCAAGACCACACTTAGCGACTACCTGGTTGCAAGCAACGGTATCCTCTCTTCGCAGCTCGCTGGCAAGGTGCGCCTGCTCGACTCCCGCCCAGACGAGCAGGAGCGATGCATCACGATGAAGGCCAGTTCCATCGCGTTGCGGCACATCTACAAAGGGGCAGAGCATCTTTTGAACCTTGTGGATTCACCTGGGCACATTGATTTCTCATGTGAAGTGTCCACAGCAATGCGGTTGTGCGACGGCGCCGTCATTATTGTTGACGTGGTGGACGGTGTGACCCAACAGACAAGCAGCATGTTGCGCCACGCACATCGTGAGGGTTTATCGATGTGCCTTGTACTCAACAAGGTGGATCTTTTAATCACTGTGCAACAGCTTACTCCGGAGGAGGCGTATTACCGAATGCGTGCTATTGTGGAATCCTGCAACGCCGCACTCGCTGCATTTGCCAATCAACTCAAGATTCAGGAAGAGGAGGAGGAGACGCTTATGCATCAAAATCGTGGGGACCCCAGCGATGATGTATGGTTCTGCCCCACGAAGGGAAACGTGATATTCAGTAGCTGCTACGATGGATGGGCCTTTAGTACCAACTTTTTTGCCTGTCTCTACGAACCCAAATTGGATATGCCCAACCTGCATACATCGCTGTGGGGAGATTATTACCTTGATGTCAAAACAAAGACAATACATACAACTCCACGGCGAGCTGGACAGCAGCCGCTGGCAGTGCAATTAATGCTGGAACCTATTTGGAAGTTATACCATGCATTTCTTGAAGAAAAAGATAATGTGGAGCAGCAGTTACATATGGCTGCCAAATTGGGGGTTTCAGAGCGTCTGTGGAATAACCCGCGACGAGACTTGCGAGGGAAATTAACAGCGTTGCTCTCTTCGTGGCTTCCACTTGCTGATTGTGTGCTAAACGTTGTTTGTGAAAAGTTGGATTCCCCTGTTGTGGCGCAACGTCGTCGAGTGCCCTTCCTTATTCCGCGATTTGCTGACGCCCCGATGCACATAAAAGAAGCGTTGATGAGTTGCTCAGCCAGCCCTGGTGCACCATGCATTGTGTATGTATGCAAGCTCATTGATACGCAGTTTCTTGTGGGCACAACGATTGGGCAAGAGGAAGATGGGGATCATGCATTTATTGGATGTGCCCGCGTCTACAGTGGCCGCCTTCGACCTGGTCAGAGGGTGTACGTCCACAGTGATGACAAGATTGTGGAGGGGACTGTGGGTAAGGTGTTTGTTTTTCGCGGCACAGGCTTGGATGAGGCGACGGAAGCCTGTAGCGGGACACTGTGCGGTGTTGGAGGTCTCACCTCCTGCATCACAAAGTACGCCACACTTTCAACGATAGCAGGTGTGCCGCCGTTTAAGCCCCTTGTGTTGCCGAGTACATCCATCTTGCGCGTCTCCGTCTACCCAAAGGATCCGAAGGACCACTTCGAGTTGGTAAAGGGACTGCGGCTGTTGTACAAGGTTGACCCACAAGTGGAGGTGAGCATACTCCCTACTGGGGAGCACGTGATTGGTGCTGCCGGAGAGGTGCATTTGGAGCGATGCTTAAAAGACCTTGAGGAATCTTTTACTCGTGTGCAGATTTTGGCGTCTGAGCCCATTGTCTCGTTTAGAGAAACCCTTGCGGGCGGTGGTGGGAATACGAAGCTCAAGCTGCATACGGGTTCAACCGCCGATGGTGCCTTCTCTATCACCTTACGCGCTCGTTGTCTGCCTCCGGAGGTGTTCGACATACTGAAAGATGACTGCATGAATCATGGCTCCAACACCCAGGTGCTTCGGCAGGTGGAGGCTGCATTAAAGGCAAACAAGCGTTGGGCGGCGGAGATGCAGCACGGGATTGTTGCCTCGGGCCCGACAAAGCTGAAGTTTCTTGGTGCACTCATGCTGCTCCAGTTTGGCGATGAAGGTACTGCGTTGGAAAAATTTCAGCTATTTGAGAGCTGGAAGGACAGCATCATAGCTGGGTTCCAGGCGGCGGCCGAGAGTGGCCCCATGGCACAGGAGGCCTTATTGAACGTCGCGTTTGTTGTAACGGATCTTTCAGTGGACGCCACCTCCGGTCTGACAGGTGGGATGGTGCTGCCGTGCGTGCGAGACGCCTGCCGTGCGGCGATGGAGCTGCACCCGCGGCGTCTCGTGGAGCCTGTGTATGAGTGCACAGTGTACTCCTTTGGAGCGACGCAAGGGAGAATTTACGGGTCTCTTAGTCGTCGTCGCGCGGAGATTATTGAGGAGGTCCCCAACGAAGGCAGTGATCTCTTCTACATCCGATGCCTATTACCTGCCGTGGAGGCGTTTGGCCTGCAGGATGAGTTGCGCGTCATCACGCAAGGGGCCTCGACAGCGCAACTTCAAATGAGTCTGTGGAGCATCGTAGACGCGGATCCGTACTTCACACCGACAACGAAGGAAGAAATTGAGGAGTATGGCACTGAGATGGGGACGAAGAACATCGCGGAGCAGTTGCTGGAGCGTATTCGCCGCCGCAAAGGGCTTTACCGCGAACGGGTTGTGGAAAATGCGGAGAAGCAAAAGTTTTCTCTCAAGGGGGCTTGAAGACGCGTATGCTGCCAGAGTCACAACGGGAGGAGATTATAGTAAAGAGGCATTGCCACATGGTAGGGAGGTGGCGCTGTTTATTAACTTCACTTGCGACGCAAGCAGGAAACCTGTAAAAACGAGCTGAGAGTAGAAGCAACCGGATCACGCGAATCGGAGTTCACACACTCATATTTTATTTCTTCTTTTTTTTTTTTGTACTATGTTTGCAGCTGTGTTTTTTTTTTTGTCCCAACTGCTTGTTATTGTTGTTGCTCCTTTTCGTATTGCTGGCAGGAGGTAGTGGAATGGATTTTCCGCGTTAATTGCGTGACAGTGGGAGAAGCATGGAAATGACGACACCAGCGCGATTTCACGTCGGGCCAGCGGCGTCGTTTAGGAACAGGAGCCGGCAATTGGTTAAATGCGATGAGCGGAACATCGCTGTGTTTCGCTACAAGGATTGCTTTTACGCCATCGACAACGCCTGCTACCACCACGGTGGGCCACTGCTGGAGGGTGATATTGAGGAAATAGATGGGCACCCGTGCGTCGTATGCCCGTGGCATCAGTATCAAATCACCCTCGACACCGGCGAGGGTCTCTACTTGGCCCTGCAGATGACGCCGTCGGGTGTGCCAGACAGGAAACTCCCACAGAAGGTCTGCTCCAAGGGGCAGAAACAACGCACTCATATCGTCACTCTGGAGGACGGTGAGGTCTTCGTGACCCTAAACACAACTGGTCCGCGGCTTGAGAGTGACGGATACGCTGAAATGGACATCGCGAACAAGGAGGGAACGATGGCTTCGCCCTTGGAGGATTCTAAACGAAAAAAACATCACAGTGTAAGTGGTTTTAGCCTGGGGATACATAGTGCGTGTCGCAGCGGGCAGGTTTTTGCGAAGATGGCAACGGGGATGAAGCCACGATCGTTTACTCTCTCCGATCGCCCAACTCTGATGTGTGTCCGAGTTGAGCCTGTGTGCGACAGTACACAGGAGTTCTACTTTCAGCTTTCTCACGGCAGGCTTGACGCCAGCTCTCTTGTGCCGGGGAACTTTGTTGATTTGGAGCTCCCCATTGCGGCACCTCCTGGTAAGCGTTTTGTGCGACGGTGGACTATTGTTGAGCTAAATAAGGAAGGATATCTCTTTACCCTCATCATCAAGGCAGCAGCACAGTGTGATTGTGGGAGCGCGTGGATGTCAAAGAACGCACTGCATCAACGATTCCCGCTACTTCATCATGGTGGAAACTTTACCTTGACGCATCACATGAGTCGTCTGCGTGAGGTGAAGGGGCGCATTGTGATGCTTTCTGCGGGGTTCAGTATGATGGTGCTCTACGCCTCGCTCCGTTATCACTTTGAGGGTAAACGTATGCCGGAGTTTCCGAAACTTCAGATTATTCATCTCCATGTGGAACAGAGCGTTTCTTGCGTGCCAAGGTTGGGGGATTTTGTGCGGTGGCACCATGCCAAGGCGGAGCACTTCACCTACCGTTTTCACTGCTTCTTCACAAAGCAGAAGGCGCTGTCTGCAAATTTATCTGAGGAGGCTTCGTTGCGCTTGCTCGCGACATGCGGTCAGCGGCCCGATGAGGCGGACATTCGGCGTTTTTTAGGCGATTTTGTGGAACCGTCATGTCCCGCTCTCGCCATGGTGTGCGGGCCTCCTGCGTTTATTAGTGTGGGAAAGCGTGTCGTGTTAGCCACTGGTGTCCTGCCCTCGGATGTGCTGACGGATGAGGATGAATCATACAACTCCCTGTAGGGAAAATAAGCTCTTCTTCACCACGTTGTCATTGCCGTTCTTTGGAGTGAAACACAACGATTTGTTTTATTCATTGTCATTATTGGTCTCTCTCTGTGGATGGGATGTATGTATGGGTACCTGCCTTTCATGTTACAGCGTCCACCCACTTGTCCCTCCTTGCCTTATGTACCCACAGGGAAGGGAAGAGGACAGGACTGCAAGGCGTTGCATTTGATTCTATGCTTGTATCTCTTGTGTGTTTTTCTACGATGGAGCATACGCCGTTGGAGGTAATCTTTTCTTTTCTCTTTGGGGTTTGTAGATGGGGAGGAGAGAAATCGAAGGTGCGGGGGTGTGGCTAGTGGTATTTCCGTGCGTGTCCACCTTTTTCGTTTTCTCTCTCTCTCCTCAATGAGGATGTGTATAATTTGGCATGTGTATCCCAGATATCGGCAGCTCCCTCCTTTGTCTGCGATTTATTTATGTTTTCTTTAACTGCTGCGGTGAGAGTCTTTTGTGTGTGTTTTTTTTTTGCTTTTGTTTTCTTTTCCGTCCTTTCTGTTTGTCTTCTCCGGTCCGTTACCTTTTGGTTTACTTAACGGCTTTGGGAATATCACAGGTTATTCGCGCATCCTGGTCATTGGCTTAGTAATGGGGGTGTGGCAGAGCACACCAGTTCCCCTGGAGGTAGCGCAGGCGGCGGCAAACGAGACGAGCAATTGGGGGGTGCCGCCTGAAGACATCCCGGAAGATGAGAAAGATATTGAGGAGCTCGTGCTGCAGACGTGGGCCTTCTGCAAGGCCAAGCCCTCTCCCGCCCAAACCTATCGTAGTGATGTGGAGGAGCGGAAGCGGCGTATCTCCGTATCGTGGCGGAAGCGTGCGAGCTTCCTTGAGCTTGACTGCGGGGAGGACAGCTTCTTCGTGGCTAACACATACAAAGTCATTGGCGTGGCGGATGGTGTAGGTGGTTGGCGCGATGAGGGGGTGGACCCGGCGCTTTTTTCAAACTCATTGATGGAAAACGCCAAGCTGTTTGCCGAGACTCACCGCAAGGAATTGAACCCCGAGGTAATTCTGCAATCCGCCTTCGACAAGGTGCTGAACGACAGGGAGGTGAAGGCGGGCAGTGCGACGGCGTTGGTGGCAACGCTGCGCAAGGAAGATTCCGGAAAACACATCCTTGACGTCGCCAACGTCGGAGACAGCGGGCTCCTTGTCGTTCGAAACCGCCAAGTGCTGCACCGGGTGCACGAAAAGGTCCACGGCTTTAACGCCCCGTTTCAGCTGGCAGTTGTACCTCTCCATCTTCGGGGTCGCGCCTTCTCCGACAACGTGAGCGACGCCACGCGCGAGAAGGTGGAGGTACAAAAGGGTGACGTCGTCATCGCTGCCACAGATGGCTTTTTTGACAACCAGTTCAACGCCACCATCGCCTCCGACGCCGGCTGGATTGGAAAGGTAGAGGGGAGTGCGATGGATCGGGTGCCACTTGTGGGTTTTGTTTTGAGCGCCATCTTTGCGGATGAAAAGGTTGCGTACATTGACCCGCAGCGTGTAGCGCAACGCCTCGTACAGAGCGCCTACAAGGTCTCGCTAGATCACGAGGCCCACAGCCCGTGGGCGTCGATGCTGCGCAAGTTTGGCGCAGAGGACGCAAAGGGAGGTAAGACGGACGACATCACTGTCGTTTTGAGTCGCGTCACTACGCGCGATGAACTCAACACCAGCAACATGTGGTAGGAAGAAGGGAGGCTGGGTCGGGGGATGTGTCCCTTGTGTCCACTGCAGTGTGAGGTTAGAGCAGCTGTGGAGAGGAAGTTGTTGGCGATGCTTGAAATGAAAGGGGAAGAGAAAAGGTGGATGGCAGCTTACGCGCACGTGGGTGTCTATCTGCGTGTGTATCTGTCTGTTTGTCTGTCTGTGTGCGGAGGACATGGAAATAAAGTAAGGAGGTAAAACAAGCAATCAAGAGCCGTTGGATGCAGTCGGCCTCCACGCTGGTGTGGGCGAAGGGCGACGGCGACACGTCGGCAAGAACGCACAACTTGTTGTTGGGATTATTATTATTATTTTTTTTTTCTTCTTTTTGTGGTATCGACTGTCAGCGGCACCGGCACGTTTTCTTCGCAGCTTTGTTGTTGTTGCCTTCCTCCCTCCCTCCCACCTTACTTTTTTAAATTACTACGAGTTGCTGTCTGGTTTGCCTCTTCACGCACATTGTTTCTTTCTATCTTTCACTCTCACTCTCACTCTCTTCCTTATTCTTGCGTGTGTAGTCGAAGTTTTTTGAGGGCTTCACCTTGACCGGGTGTACACGGCGGATGGAGTTCGGTAATCCCTTCGCAGCATTCCTCGGCAAGAGGACGGCGCGCGGCACGAGCCTCAAACGTTCCCGCACCGACGGAGACGCCTCGCTGGGAGGCGTGGAGGAGACAAAATCTTCCGCACCAGCGGTTGTGGCGGATGCTGCCTCCGCCACCGCCTCACCAAATGCAGCCGAGTTGAGCCATGCGGGAACAAAATTGTCCGCTGACGCGACGTATGTGTCTTCCGTGAAGGTCCTTCTCTCAGATGATAGAAACAAGGAGGAGGAGGAGGAGGAGTTGCGTCTGCTGCTCGGTGGCGAAGATGACATCAATGTGCGGCCCAAAGAGGTGGTGGATGCCGCGTCCCATACGGGCACACACGCTGCATCGCCTGCGACGACGACTGCCGTGGCCCTTCGCGAGATCCCGTGGATGACGCGGTCCAACGAGGCGTTGGCGGCAATCGCGGAGCGATTTGAGGTTCAATTCCGATGGGAATTACGGCGCAATGTGGAGCTTGTGCAGGTGTTTGAACCCTTTTTTAGCGACAAGGCTTTGCGTCGCATTGAGACTGAGACGCGAGGGGCGCAGTTTCTTCCTGCACCTCTAGCTACGCCAGAGAACACTGGGGTTGCGAATGGCTACACACTGCGCTCGTACCAGCTTGAGGGTGTTCAATTCTTACTAAACAACTTCCATAGAGGGATGCCGTGCATCCTGGCAGATGACATGGGGCTAGGCAAGACAGCACAGATCTCGGCCTTTCTTCATATGCTTCAAGCACAGCACAACATTGACGGACCTCATCTTATAGTATCACCACTGTCGACACTCACAGCCTGGACGAGGGAACTCGCCCGGTGGGCGCCAACGTTGCGTGTGGTGAAGTACCACGGCGAGCGAAAGGGACGGGCATCACTGCGTACCACACGGGGTTATCGTCACTGCGTCTTTGTGACAACCCCCGCTGTTCTCAATCAAGACCGTGGGTTCTTCCGTAAACGGGCATGGGTTGTGGCCGTTGTGGATGAGGCGCATGTTCTGAAGGGGCGGAATACCATAATCTCATATGTGGCACGTAAACTGACGGCATGTTTTCGGCTGGCTGTGACGGGTACGCCTGTGCATAACAACGTGGGAGAGGTGTGGAGTCTGATGAAATTTTTATATCCCGCCTACTGTACCAGCTACGACGGCAGCGTTGGTGAAGACAATGACCCCGTCACGGCAGCGGAGGATTGCGCGAGGGTGCTTCAATGCGTTATGCTGCGTCGAACAAAGGGGTCAATTGAGCTGGGTATTCCACCCCGCGTAGACGAGCCCACGCGTATGCTTGATCCCACATGGATACAGCAGCAACTGCTTTATCACATGACGGAGCAGGTGTTGAACGGGGAAGAAGCCAATGAGACTCGCCTACAAGCTCATCTCACACATCAACGTATTGTTTGTTGCCATCCGTTGGCATTACGGCTATTGGCAGTGGAGGGTCGGGCTTCAGGTCAGGCAGGTTGGGAGGAGCGTTTAGCTGCAGCGGGTGTTGTGTTGAATGAGGCCTCCATCGTGGCAGTGAGCGCCAAAATGATGGAACTCGATCGCATGCTGCGGGAATGTAAGGCGAATGGGCACCGATGTCTAATATTTTCCAATTTTACTTCTATTTTGGATCTTCTGCAGGCATTGTGCGTGCTGCGAGGTTATAGTTTTGAACGACTCGACGGCACCACGCCGCGTGTGGAGCGTGAGCTCTCCATGATACGCTTTAATGCTCCCGGGTCATCTTGCTTTGTCTTTCTCCTTACCACAACAGCCGGCGGCGTGGGTGTAACGCTGACGGGCGCGGACACGGTCATTCTTTTTGATGCTCATTACAACCCACAAATTGACCGCCAGGCTGCCGACCGGGCCCACCGCATTGGCCAGACGCGTGTGGTCCGCGTGCACCGGTTGTGCCTTAAAAACACCATTGAAGAACGTATTCTTAACGTGGCTCTAAGAAAAGCGTCGCTCGGAGACTTCATTGTAGATGGTGCAGGTTGCAAGGGGGACGACACAGCCGGCTTGGCCCTTTCCACGCATCGGATTCGTATGCTTTTCAGTAGTGCAAACCAATTCACCGTTTCTTCCCGCGAACCCGCTGCCCACACCGATATGGTCAACAGTGATCACGAGACGTCCGTGGGAGAGGCCATGGTGGCGGAATTACTGCGTGTCGAGGCGGAAGGGCTTCCAGGAGCCCGTGTAGCGAAGACAGAAATTCGGGACGGACGGACTGTGGTGGGTGTTACTCACAACTGCTTCTTGTGTGGGGAAATCATGCGGCCGTTAGAGCCGTTGTACCACTGTTCTGTATGTCCCAAGGCGTATCATGCTGAGTGTGTTGGCGAACGGAGGCCCAAAGCCGGTGTGGCCGGCCCACGACGCTGGACGTGCCCCCGCCACAGCTGTGTCTTGTGTGGTAAGGGGCAAGGCGTTGATGGGACGGTGTTTATGTGCACAGAGTGCTCTGCTTCTTTTTGTTTTGACTGCCTCGATCCACGTTACTTTGACCTGGACGAGACGGGGGCGCAGTTTGTTCACATTCGACGCGAGTATCCGGGGATGACGGCGGAGGGAATGGAGCCACAACGCTCCATCTACTACATCACCTGCCTCCGCTGCTGCGGCGTGTTATCCTCTTCCTCCTCGTCCTCCTCAAGTGAGACAGACAGTGACACCATGAGCGACGACGATGACGATGTTCTTCTGGAGGAAGTAAATGCCCCGAGCGGTGTGGAGCAGTAGAAGAAGGTTTAAGTGGCATGATATGGCACACGTACTGAGACACATTATATATATATATATGTATATGTATAACTTTCATAGAGTCACTCATGTCCACAGTTCCTTTCTCTCCCCCTCCGTAGATCTATTCCTTGGAATGCATACATCCATATGTATGGTCGGGGGGAAAAGGATGGTATGGGGGATGACAGCAGAGAAGGATGTGGTTGTCTCTCCTGTTTATTTGGTATTTCCGCAACGGCAAGATAAATGCCAATATTTTAGTTTTTTTTCTTTTTTCTATTGTTGTTTTTTGTCATGCAATGCGTGTAAGATGAGAGTTTCCCAGGGTCTCTTCCTGGGAGTACCACCTTCCCATCATTTTCCCCTAAATATATGCACGACAGTACACTTGTCCTTGTCCCCTGGCAATCACGTTCGTTCTTACCTTCCTTCTCCGTGTGTGTTTTACATTTGGGGGAGGGGGGAGGGCGAGGGCAGCGTGGCGTTGCCTCTGTGCTCCACCACTAAACTGGCGATATTTTGCGCGTGCCACGCATTATTATTATTATTATTTTGGTCCTGTACGTCTTTCTCACAATACAGTCCCTTGGGCGGGGAAGAGGAGGAAGATGCACCAGGTTCGTGGGCTTGTGCAGCAAGCATCCGCTGCAACGCTCCGTTTGTTGGAGAAACGTGTGGCCCCACACGACGTGGGGGCGTGCTTCATAGGTGCTGTGTTTGTGGACGCTAGCGGGGCGGCTTCGCCTGTTCAGCTGCTGCACCCTGTCGCACTGCAACAACTGCTGGCGGAGCTGCCCAAACCTGAGGCCTTGAATTGCATGCAGGAGGCAAAGAAGGTTGTGTTGGCGTCCGGGCACAATACCGCGCCACTGGCCACACCGCCCGGCAGCTCCAGCAACGTGCTCTGCGTCAAGGACACCACGCAGCGCACAGTTGCAGAGCTGCGCTCTCGACAGTCCCGTCTATTGGCGAAAGCGGAAGGGAGGTTGATGGCGCACGACCTCCGCCTAGTGGAGGCGTTTACACACCGGCTGTTGAGCGGCGAGGAGACACAACGGCAAGGCGAAAAGGGCGTGTTTTTACCCGATGAAGTGGCGATGTACCGCAGCATCGTGGAGGAGTTAGTGCGACTGAATCCACAAGCTGCAGTCGCGTTGGCGATGAACACCAAACTGCCCTCGCTTGGCAGTGGTGCGAGTGCGGCGCTGGCGGCATTGGTGAACCTCGATGTCCCGGCGGCGACGCTGTCCTTCTTGGAAAACTTTGCTGGCAAGGACGAGGCGTCTGCCGCGTCGGAAACTTCCGCCACTCAAATCGCAGTTCGTCTACGCAACAAGCTGTGGCAGCTGCGGGAGGTGAGTGCAGACAATCCAGCACGGGTGGCACTGCGCGATGCGCTTGCAACGGCGTGCCGCTTCAACGTTGATCCTGGTGTGGTGTTTCCCACAGATGCAGCGGCAATTCAGCGCTGGAGTTCGCAGTTTCTTCGGGAGGAGATGTGGCCGGTAGAGCGCGGTCGTGTCCTCGCTGACATTGTGCGGGGTAAACGATTGATGCCACGCCGCGTCTCTCTAGACTGTCTCAGTAATTGGTGCCTGACAGACTTGGAGCGGACGTGGGTGTCAGCACTCCTGCAGGAAGGCGATGAAACGGATGGAACGCGTTGCTCCGACACGGCCGTGTACCGCTCCGCCCTTGCGTGCGTTCTAAAGGACCCAAAGCGCTGTCTAGTGGATAGCCGGCTGCTGCGGCAGTACGCGTTGCTGCTAAAACGCGGCGAGGTGGAGCCTGCGCATTCGAGTTTCCCGCACTTCCTCGAGGAGTGCGGGGAGTGCCACGGGGATGGGGAGCGCCCGGAGGAACTGATATTTCTAATGCCGCTTCCGTCATCGTCTACTTCCTCCGTAACGTCACCGGGGCCACAGACGCTCATGGATGCGTTGTTGGCGCTCGCCCCACACTGTGGTTATTGGCGCACCCTACTGAGTGCCGAGGAGGCTGTTGTTGAGGCAGTTCTTGCACCGCAAGGAAATGTGCAAGTGAAGGTGAAACTTCCTCGTGTGCACGAGTGTGTGGAGGCGGCTATGCATGCCGCACGGATTTCTGAGTCTCCGTCTACTCTCACCCAATCGTGCCTGCCTGTTATTTTTGAGGACGAAGACATTGTGGTGCTCAACAAGCCCCCGCACTTGGCGACCTCTCGCCACGCACTCAGTTGCACTCAATTGGGTGACGCGACTGCCACCGATGTGGTGTCGCTGATGCTCGCCTCCACGAGGCATGGGGATACGGTGCGTGGGGTGTTTCGTCAGGGCCAAGTTCACCGGCTTGACACGGAAACGAGCGGGTGCCTCGTGATGGCGAAGAACGACTGCGCGGCAGCATCACTGCGCCACCAGATGGGCACAAGCGCCGCGTATTCCCAGAGCAGCAAGGTGTACCTTGCACTGTGTGCCGTGATAGAGCCTGACCTCCGCCGCATCCCGTTACGCGGGGTGCTGCGCGATCCACTAGACGCCAAAATATGCACCAAGTACCGCGTTGTGCGATTCTTCCGGAGGTCTCGGGTCGCCCTGCTGGAGTGCCGAATTCAGCAAGGCAAGAAGCATCAAATCCGACGCCACCTGGCGGCTGCGGGGCTGCCAATACTGCAGGACGTCGAGCACGGAGGAGCCGCATGCACCACGCCACTTATTGACCGCGTCGCCCTCCACGCCTCCGCGCTCACGCTCGTCCACCCGCGAACCGCCGAGGTTGTTACATTTGTTGCACCCATGGCGAGGGATTTCACAGAGACCGTTCGTCAGCTCGAGTGAGACGTGGGAACACGCTTGCCGGCTGCCTTTGTCCTGCCTTCCTCAATGGTTGCCTCTGTGGTGGGTGTTTGGTCCAACATCTCACAGGCAGCAACGGCAAAAAGAGAAAGAAGAAAAAAGAGGTGGTGCGGCGATCCGCGAGGAATAGTGAGACGAAAGGTCAGGGAGAAAAACTCGTATTGTTGTGTTTTTTGCTCCGCCAGTGGAGACGGCGGGACGTGCCCGCTTGTCGCCGAAGCAACTTTCACTGCGTGACCTTCTTCTCTCTTTATCTATCTCTGTATTCCCTCCCCCACACCCTGTAGCCATGAGTGGCGTGTTCCAACGCGGGTAGCTTGGCGTGGGGCAGGATAGGCAGTGAACAGGCCTAAATACGTGCAGAGATTGAACAGAAACCGTGGGGAACATTACACGGCGGGCAAGGAAGAAGAAGAAAGAAGGGAAAAAGAAGAGAGAGCAGGTGGTGTAAATGCGGCTTGTGCTTCTGTTTTTCTTTCGTTGGACTTAACAGCCCAACGAAAGCGTTGAATGGAAAGTTGCAGTCACGCGCGGGGTCACACAGAATACGCTGGGGCAGTGTCAGCGGGGAAAAGGCGGAGCCATCCTTTTTGTGGGGCCCATTCAGCCGTACGTTGAGGGAAAAAGGCGATCCATGAATCACTGCGGACCCAAGGGCCTTCCGCATGGTTTCGCACAGCAGGACTAGCTACAGACGCTGCGGGAATAGCAAGTACTGCGTAGCCATTTCCCCCCTTTCTTGTTGCCTTTCTCTCTCATAGACACACAGAGTGGGTTGGAGGTTGCGCTAGCACAAGTGTATGGTTCCGTGTGTGTATGTGTGTGCGTGTGTGGCTGTTATGTTGGTTAAATTTCTTTGCAGTTGTAGCGTTGAGGGTGTTGCGTTGCCGTGCCTCACTATTCCCTACCCGCGTTTTGCTCTTGACTTACAGGGCAGCACAGTGTGCGCCGTGTTTTTTTTTTTTTTGTGGCGTGCAGGGGTGCGAAACAAGTCAAAAAAGCAAAACCACAACAAAAAACAAGCCCAACAACATCAGCAGCAGCAGCCAAGCAAAGATACGATGACATCTCTCAGTGATTTTTTTTTAGTGACACATCGGCGTCGAAAGTACTCTTCGGCATAGCGATTCCGTGGGTGATGCTCCTGCTGTACTACCTCTACTATGTGTTTAAGCGACCACGTGAGGTTGCGGCGTCCACCATCGCCCCCTTTTTGATCTTTATGAACCACCTAACCGACGGAGCGACCGCGGGCTACGATAAACCACTCATGAGCCTTTTCCATCCGGAACTGCTGAAGGACGTGGAGCGGGGCCTGATTCGGGCCATGGCGCGCTGTCTCTGTAAACATTTCGGTAAAGTTGTGCACGTCCCCCGCGACACGGCGATGCTTAGGAGCCGAGACGACGATGTGAGCTTTGTTGCTCTTGTAGACTTCCAGCACGTCAGACAGGTGAAGTGCCGCATGTCGTGGAGGTGGTGCCCCCCCAAGGGTGTCTACTTTGCCATGCCCGTCGCCCAGCGACATTTTCAAGTCACCGGCTTTCATGTAGAGCCTCAATCGATGGTTCAGTTTGACGTTTTGGAGTTTCTGCACACCGAGGACTTTGTGCCCTTTGCGGGGTCGTTTGTGGAGAAGTTGTTTGAACGGCCTCCAAAGGCGGCAGTGATGATGATGGCGCCGCCGCTGCAGGAGCGTTACTTGGCGGAGCTGGAAAAGCTGCAGAACAGCATTCAACGCGTGTGCGGGAGTGCGCCGGAGTCGCGCCCGGACGTGAACGCGAGACTCGTGAGCGAGACCATCCTACGCGACCCCGCCTCGTCGGGCCCCTCCTGTGCAAACCTGGGCAGTGATAGCGCCAGCAAGGGCGCTGGGGAAGCCGCGGAGGATGTTAGAGGTGAGAAAGGCAACACATGTGAGGCAGCAGAAATGCCCACCAAAAGAGCTGTGCGGGGAATTGAAATGCATTTTGTGGTAGGCGGTGTGGGGCTGCGGGAGGTGGAGGTGACCGTGGTGCTTTCCTTTAGCGGTCTCCGCTGCCACGTCATCCGCTATGAGGTTCGCGCTCAACCAGATACTCGGACACACATTTTGCTCGATCAAGACACGGGCGAAAAGACTTTTGTGGCCTGAACTCCCACCCATCAGCGTGTGCAGCATATATATATATATATATATAATATAATGGGTGCAACAGTAAACACTGGGAACAGTAGCAGTGAGCACCTTTATCTTGTTTTCCGTATTATTTCTTCTTTTTCGTAGGTATTGTTTGTTTAATTCCTATTGGCCGGGAGGATACCTTACCATGTGACTGCCGTACATGAATCATGAGCTGAATGCCCGTTGAGAAGTTATACTGCTTCTCGTTTTCATTCTGTGTTTTTCTTTTCATGTGTGTCACTTCTTCTTGTATGACCTTATTGGATGCATGGGCGTGTGTGCGTAGACTCCTCTTATACGTTTCTTGTGAATGTGGGTGCTTCAAGGCGCGTGTTTGATGCTTTCTGTGAGAGTGGGGTGTCGAAGGTGGAGGGGCTGCCCTGCTTTCCTGCTTCCTCCTCTTGTCTCTTCTCTTTGCTGTGGTTGTTGTTGTTTTGTGGGGAGACGGGATGGCTCTCTGCCCACCCCGCCTTCTCATGGTTCCACGGAACTTGTCCGCCTCCACCCTCTTCTTCTCCCTCTTTTCCTTATTTCCTCTCCTCTCCTCGCGTGTGTGGGGTCAACAACTGTAGGAAGAGTATTTTTAGGCGGCCACACGAAAAAAAAAAAAAACAAGAGAAAAACAAAAAAAAAGGAAACGTAGAAAAGGAGCCTCATACATACAAATAAGCGCATTCATATATTTATAGTCCTTTGCAGCTCCCGCGGGAGTACAAACATATTTATTT